GGTGACCAGCCCCACGAAGACGGAGGGGCGCGACAGCCACGTCGCCCTGAAGAGGCCTGCTGCCAGTGAGGACGCAGCCACTCCTCCATCAAAGCGGAGGCCTGCTGCGTCGACGCCGAAGTGCGGTGACGCCGCCATTCCCCAGAAGCCAATTGCGCCATCCGCATCTGCTTCCTCTGAGGCGCACCTTGCGGCAATGACCGCGCGGCTGGGACCAGCAGCTGACTGCGGCCCCCCGAGGCGCTCGTGTGCCCAGATCTTCCAAGATGCGGAACATTCCGCTTCCGATTAGATCAGTGGCTGATCGGAGGCAGCGTCGCGAGACGCAGCAATCCATATCGGTAGGAGTCGGCGCCCTGCCGATCGAGCCAGCGAAGCAACCCATGTACAACGCATGCATCAACATGCGCGTGAAAAGCAATCCCCCTTGGCCTTGGGGCCATCTTGCGGCGTCTTAAGGCCATCTTGGGCCATATTGGGGCGTCTTGGGGGCATCTTGGGGCCATCTTGAGTGGAACGGAAAAGCCTTTCCATTGGGGGGCAGGATGGGGGAGGGCGAGGCGGGGCGAGGGAGCCGAACCCTTGAAGGGGAGAGAAGGGGACCGACCGACTCAGGCTGGATGCAGCTCGAACTTCTAACAAGATGGGCGATGCACGTGGCCACGTTCCTTCGCTGCTACTACCTTCAACGCCTCCACCCAACCCCCATCCGTAGCTATTTTGGTTCGAGAGTCGCTTCGGATTTGTTCCAGACCGTCAGCCACGGGTCTGGTCCAGAAGGATACATTCATGGCACCACTGTGCCCGATGAAGGTCGCGGCCCCATCGGGAAGCAGCAGGTGCCGCGAAGAAACAGAAACAAGCCACGCCGAAGCAGCCACCCACGGACGAGCACGAGTCCGACGCCAGCACAGCGGTGACGTCAGTCCCACAGGCTGATGCGCCCCAGACAAAGTACAGAAGGATTGACGAGTTCATGACTCCCGTAAGGCGCATCGGCGGCATCGGCGGGGGCACAGTGGACGTCAGTTCAGCGGCCAGCGAAGCGGCGCCATCGATTGCCGCTGACGTACACACTGTACTCTCGGAGGCCTTAGCAGACGTGCCGATGCAGCCTGCGCCAGCCCTCAGCACGACCAATGGTCAGAGCAATGTCCTCGAGGCCAGAGACGATCAGGCCCCTGCCGCTTCGATGAAGGATGTGATCGTCCAAGGCGTCGAGGCGGGCCGTGCCGATGAGTTCCTAGAGAGCGAGGTGGGGGCGCAGCTGACGGAGGAGAACATGGCGAAGTTCGACAGGGTGATGGGCCACATGCTCAATCATGAAGCTCGCGCCGAGTGCTTGATTGAGTCGGCGAAGCGAGCCCACGCCGAATCCAAGCTGGCCTCGAAGGACGAGAAGCTGCTCACATCGTTGCAAGAAGTCATCCAGACGGGCGCCTTCAACACCCGCAGCAGTTATGGCAATCGGTTCCGCGACGAGCTTGCGCAAGACAAGAAGGAGAAGGAGCTCTACGACAAGAAAGACAGGAACGGGCAGCAAGAGTACAGGATGAAATAGGCCCTCGACACAGTAGGGGCGCTCGTGAAGAAGAAGACCCACACGACTACGCTGAAGGAGTCCACAAAGGCAGAGTACAAGTACATGGCGTTCGGCAAGATGGTAGAGGAGTTCGGCGGTTGGAAATGTCAGGCTGCCCGCAAAGGAGCTTCTACCGCGGCCCTCAAATGCTTGGCCATGGGCCACCCGTTCGTGAAGAAGCACAGCCAGTCGGGCATGACTATCTTCGCGATCGTCGAGGAGAGCTGGAAGGAGACGTTCGAGCAGAGCTGGTCGGAGCTGGTGCAGAGCGTGTCTTCCCACGCAGCCGTCGGTGACCTTCCAACTGGCACTCCCGAGGAGCCGAAGGGCCCGCAGACGGACCAGAAGCACCCGAGGCTCCCGAAGGACCCGAAGGGCCCGAAGGATGCGATCAAGAACCCGCCGAAGGAGCCGCCCATCGACGATGCCGATACGAAACAGAAGAAGAAGGATATCGAGAAGCTCTTCAAGGAGGCTGGCAAGGTGAAGCACGACTTCGTTTCCGTCACGCACACTGCGATCGACATCCTCTCGCAGATCAACGACGAGACTGCTGACTGGAAGTTCGCGCGCGGCGACAAGCAGGACATGCTGAAGGAGAAGATCGACGACCTGAAGGCATCCCTGAGCCCCGTCGGGAGAGAGTTCGTCCTGGAGAAAGACCAGAAGAAGTTCAAGGCGAACCACACGACTGCGAGGCTCGTCGTCGAGATGCAGTCCTTCAAGGACTTGCAGAGCAAAGTTGCCGAGTTGCAGAGCATCGTGGAGAGGCTCGGCGAGGCGAAGAAAGCGCTGAAATTCTGACTGTCTCGCTTCAGCAACGGTTGCGGTGCTCCCTGGAGTGTGAAACATGCTTCGGGTCGACGCACGCTTGGGTGAAATCCGACCAGCCCATCAGGAAAACCGCAAGCTCTGAGTCGGTTTTCGCGCCCGCGAGGTGCGAATTTGGTCCCCGAGCCCGAAATTTGGAGTTCCCGAACTATTGAAACAACTATTGAAACAACTATTGAATCAACTATTGAATTAACTATTGAATCAACGGTTTCGCTTGAGACATCCTCAAAAAAACAATTGAATCGCCACCCAATTCAACTATTGAAAAACTATTGAAAAACTATTGAAAAACTGTTGAATCGTCGCGGGCCCTCGAATTGAGTGGCGGTTTCTGGGATTCTGTGATTTTCTGCAGAGCGTTAGCTAGGGGGAGCTGCAGATGGCAATGGCCGCGGTTGATTGCCGAGCGCTTGGAGTCGCATGCTAGATGCCATGTGAGCCTTCAAAAGAAGAACCCTTGTTACCGAGGGGAATGGGGGAGGAGGAGGAGGGGGAGGGAGGAGGAGAAGGAGGAGGAGGCGGAGGAGGAGGAGGAGGAGGAGAAGGGGGAGGAGGAGGGGGAGGAGGATGGGGGAGGAGAAGGCGGAGGAGGAGGAGGAGGAGGAGGAAGCGGAGGAGGAGGAGGGGGAGAGACGCGACCTAGTGTCGACATGAATCTACAGGGGCACGCGCTAGGGGGTGAGGATTAAAGGTCCCCCTACTCCGGAGAAAAAACATTCCCGACATACCCAGATTTTGCCCCGGCCCCGACGGCTCCCTGGAATGCCCAGTCGCCCTCCGACCCCCTGGAATGCCCGTGCTCGGTTGTGCTATCCTACCCCCCTCTTTCCTCTTCCTCTTCCTGGCTCTAAGGACCCTTACGGCCACGGGAAATCTCTCCCCCGTCCTCGTCGCTTTCGACGTGCGCAAAGTTCGTGGCTGCTCGTCGCTCTGCCTACCGCAGTCCATATAGAAGAGCCTCGGGCCCCCCTGCAGATGCTGCTGCTGCGCTGCTCGCGCCCCCCTCCTCCCCATCCGCCCCCTCCTCCTCCTCCCTCCCCGCTCCTTTTCCGCAGCCGTTTTGGCTTAATAGATCTCTGCAGGGCGCGTTGCTTCAGACCCCTGGCCCGACCATCGCTAGTTCATGCCGCGAAGCTGGGCCACGCCGACAGTTGCTCCAGAACCCGCGGCCCATGCGTGGGAAGATGCATCGGTTGATTCGGATTCGCCGTGGGAAGAAGCATCGGTTGATTCTGAATTGTTGGCTCACGGTGACATCGATGGCGCGTCAGACGGCGAGTTTTCGCAGTCGGACGCCGAGGGTGCTCGCGCGACACCAGGCCAAGAGTTCATTGATTATATGATTTGTCTGCTCCTCAGTCGGTCTATCAATGCAAAGAAATTCTGCACGGTCATGTACTACGCATCGCGCGCTGGCATTGCGGATGCCGACGCATACAGCGTGGACCCACACGCCCCGTCTGGGCATTTTTCCAGGCTTGTCAAACGAAAGCTGCCAGCATATGCTCCAGACAGGACAAAAAAGCTTTACAGATTCACCGCCCCGTCTTACTCCAAGGCCAGGCTGGGGCGCGATGAACACACATGCACTTGCATGGTGCCACGCGAGCTGGTTGCAGAGAGTTTGGAAGATGACCCAAGTATCATTGCTGACGTTCAAGATGCGATCGACTCGATGGAAATGCCACCGTGTTTCTTCGAGAACCCAGTTGTCCAAGAACATCTGGGGCCAGACTCGCCAATCATACCGCTGGGGCTGTTCACTGATGGTGTCCCGTACAGCCAAACCGACACAGCAGTCGGTTTTTGGTTAGTGAACATGGTCACGCAATCTCGAGTGTTATTCGCGTTAGTACGCAAGAAGCTTGCGTGTCATTGCGGCTGCAGGGGCTGGTGCACATATTTCAATATTTTTTCTTTCACAGCATGGAGCCTACGCAGCTTGTGTAAAGGGTCCTTCCCAATTGAGCGCCACGACGGATCGGAATTTCAAGATGACGATTCATACAGGAAGACGTTGGCTGGCAAATTGATGCGCGCAAGAGGTGTGCTCATCTATAACAAGGCCGACTGGGCTGAATTATCAACGACGTTTGGGTGGCCCTCATGGGGCGACAGTTTGAGGCCGTGCTTCCAATGCAATGGGTTTGGCGACAACTTGTATCTCGATGTTGGCTGGAGTTTAACTGGGTCTCCTTTCAGAGAGAACGTTGTCGGTGATTACGATTGGGCCTGTCAGATGTGCGAGCATGTTGTTGTTCTGTCGCATGACACACACAAGGCCCTGTGCGACGTGTTGTTCTACGACAAAAGATCTGGAAGCAGTTCGTCAAAGGGTCTAGCCCTTAAGGTTGCTTTGCCCGCCCTCGGTCTCCAGCAGGGGGACAGGGTGGAGCCAACAAAGTGGATGCCAGATGTGTCAGCAATATTTAAAATCACGCAGTTTCCATGCCCAATTCTTATTTGGAGACCGTCTGCTGAAACAATTGCTCGGCATAGAAACCCAATATATGATATCGAATTTTGCGTCGACCCGTGCACGCATACTTGCATCGATTCGCTTCACGCGCTATACCTCGGCTGCATGAAGGATCTGTGTAGGGAGCTCGCGTGGGCAACGATTGACGCTGGCCTGTGGGGCACGGCAGGGACAGTGGAGCACAATCTCGAGGTCGCTGCCATTGCGATGAAGCACGGACTTCATGGGTTCTACACCGAATGGAAAGAAACAGGTTTGAATTCGACTCTGACGGAAATCCACGCCATGAGTGCCAAGTTGTTTGGCACAAATTCAGACAGGAAGTTGAGGACGAAAGGCGCTGAAACATGGGGCTTCCTGTTATTTCTAGTCCACATGTTCAACCGTCGTTGGAAGATTCAAGGCCGCTTGCAGCGCGAATCGGTTCGACTTTTCGAGGCCGCGGAATGCATGATCAAACTGTGCTACCGCATGGATAATATCGGCAGGAAATTCTGTGACTCCGACATAGATGAGTGCTTGGAACACTGGAAACGGTTTTGTTCTCTCACCCGTCATTGTGAGCGATTGCTTACGCCAAAGCGCCACATCCTGTGGCACATGCTTCAGCGGGCTGCGTTCTTGGGGAACCCACTGTTCTACGCAAATTGGACAGACGAGGGGCTCAATAGAGTTTTGAAAGGTGCATGTCGCGAGCAGTCCCAGGTGACGTTCGAGGAGTGCGTGTTACTGTCGATGCCTTTCCTTGTGTAAAAAGTAACCCCACAAACATCACGCAAAACACGCATAACAACAATTTGCTATTTGCGTGGGAAGAGGTGTCGGACAAATTAGCACACATGTAAACAGATCCCCACCGTCTCTTCCTCCCCCATCCGCCTCCTCCCCCTTCCGAGTAACCGTGCAAATCAGCAAAGTCGAGATCCGAGGAAATAGGAAACCAGCAAAGTCGAGATCCGAGGAACAGGAAAACCAGCAGAGTCGAGATCGAGGAACCAGGGGAACCAGCAAAGTCGAGATCCGAGGAACCAGGAAAACCAGCGACGTCGAGATCCGATGAAGCAAGACAACCAGTGAAAACGAAATCAGAGAAACCAGGGCAATCGATCGAGCCGAAATCCGAGAAAGGACCAAGAGGGGCCGAAGGAGCAGGAGGAGCAGCATAAGCAGGAGGAGCAGGTGGAGGAGGGGCTGGGCGAACAGGGGGAACAGGCGGAGGAGGAGGAGGACGGGGAGGAGGAGGATGGGGGAAGAGGAGGGGGGGAGGGGGGAGGGGGGCGGGGAAGGATGAGGAGGGGGAGGCGGAGGAGAAGGAAGAGGGGGAGGAGGGAGGGGTGGCCAGGGGGAGGAGGAGCAGGAGGAGGATGAGGAGGAAAGGGAAGCGGATGAGGGGAGGAGGGGGAGGAGGAGAGGGGCTTTGAGGATGAGAAACAACAATGGAACATGTTGCGGATAAAAGGAGGGAGAAGAGGAAGAGGAGCGGGCGAGCGGCGAGCGCGCGGCCGCCCGCTTGGACGTCAAGGTCAAGGCGCCACCCGCGGCCGCGGGGCAGGGGGAGGAGGAGGAGCGGGGGGGGCATTCCTCCCCCTCCCCCTCCTCCTCCTTCCTCCTCCTCCTCCTCCTCCTCCTCCTCCGCCGCCGCTGCCTCCTCTTCCTTATCCTCTTCCTCCGTCGCCATTTTGGCTCAAACCATTTGTTGGGTAACGCCTGGGGCGAGTGCTCAACGGCACTGAGCGCGGAAAACCCGAACGATACACTCATAAAGCGTCTGCGCGCTCCAACAACCACAACTTCAACGTACATCTTGGAACCCATAACTGTACGTAAAATATCACGTGCAAAAACTGTCCGTAACGGACAGTTTTTTGTACGTGATGGACCACAGGGAACCTGGAAAGGTCCCGGCAAGTCCCGGCAAGTTCCTGGCAAGGTCCCGGCAAGGTCCTGGCAAAGTCCCCAGCAGGTCCCGGGCAGGTCCCGGCCAGGTCCCTGCATGCTACCAAGAACGTTCCAGGAGCGCTTCAAGAGGCCTCGAAGAGAGTTCAACATGGCCCGAGACGGTCAAAGAGCGATCCAAGACGCTAAAGATGGCCTCCAGACAGCCCAAAGCGCCTTCAAGACGCCCCAAGAGGCCTCCAAGAGACCTCCGAAGAAGGCCCACAGAGACAGACATTAATGATTTCCCTGAAGTTTTGAAGGTTTCTGGCGTTCTTGCCTTGGGGGCTTACCAGCGCTCCCGAGAGGGCCCATAGAGGCAGAAATTAATGATTTACATGCAATCTTTGATATTTTTTTGCGTTCTCGCCTTGGGAGCATTCCGGCGCTCCAAGACGGCCCAAAAGGCCTCCAGTATCGCCCCAAGAGGCCTCCAAGAGCTCCCCAAACAGCCCCAGAGGGCCCCAAGACAGCCACTGAGGCTTCCAAGATGGCCGAAGGGGCTCCCAAGACGGCTCCAACAGCGGGCCCAGAACTGGGACCCGAACGGACATGTCGAGCTCTAGGCGCAGAGAGGTCCCCCGGAAGCCCGAAGAGGCCCCCAAGAAGCCCCCAAGAGGCCCCCGAGAGGCCCAAAGAGATTCCCAAGAGGCCCCAAGAGACCTCCCAAGAGGGCCCACAGAGGCAGAAATTAGCGATTTTCCTGCAGTTGTTAAAGGTTTTTTGGCGTTCTCGCCTTTGGGGGCTTACCGATTACCGGCGCTCCAAGACAGCCCTAGAGGGCCCCAAGACGGCCCAAGATGGGCCCAAGACAGCCCCTGGACGCCCAAGACGGCCCAAGAGGGCCCCAAAATGGCCCCAAGAGGGGCCCAAGAAGGGGACCAGGAAACGAAAAGTCCAGCCTTCAGCCCCAAGAGGCCCCCAGGCCACAAGAGGCCGTCAAGAGGCCCCAAAGGAGCCCCCAAGAGGCACCCCAAGAAGCCCCAAGCGGCCCCAAACAGGCCCCAAGAGGCTCCAATACGGCATCAAGAGGCCTCAAAACTGCCTCCCAGATGCCCCTGTCAGGACAACCACGAGAGGCCCAACCAACATCCATGAGGCCTCTGACCCACCACCCACCGCCTCCGAAAACTGGCAGCCTCTCCCAACCGCACCGCATTGACAACAACACCCCGACAAACAACAGCGGCGAGGCAATATGGGCCAGCGGAATGAGCGAAGCGATCAAATAATACGGAAAAGAAGAACACGAATACTGGTAATAAGAATAACATGATTTTTGAACATGCTACTAAAACCAATAATAACTACTCCGACGGAAGGACCCCGCATGATAAATGTCTTAGTGCTCATGAGAGTCATGATCATCGACGACCAACGGTGGTGATGATGCCGGGATGCCAAGATGCGACCTGTGAGGCCGTTGAAACCTGTGGGGCCCGTGGGGTTTTTGAGACTTGCAAGAGTTCTGAAGCCTATGCCATCTGTGGGGCCTGTGCGACCTGCGAGGCCTGTGCGACCTGTGGGGCCTGTGTGACCTGTGAAACCTGTAGGACCTAGGGCACCTGTGGATCCTGTGGGACCTGTGGGACAAGTGGGGCCCCTGAAACTTGTGGGGCCTGTGGGGCCTGTGGGACCTGCGACACTGGTGGAGCCTGTGGAACCTGTGTGGCCCGCAGGGTTTGTTGGACCTGTGGGACCTGTGGGACCTGTGGGACTTGGAAACCCTATGAAACCCTGTAGGCCGCGTGGGAACTGTCGGACCACCTGGGACTGTAGCACCTGTGGGGCTTCTTGGACCTGTGGGGCCTGTGGCACCTGTGGTACCTGCGGGACCTGTGTGGCCTGAGGGGCCTGCGGGGCCTTTGGGACCAGTGGGCCGTGTGGGACCTGTTGGACCTGTGCGACTTGTGGGAGCCGTGGGACCTGCGTAACCTGTGCGCCGCCCCTGGCTCCCGCTCGAGATGTCCCCACGATTCACTCACAGACGAGGCTCCCGCTCAAGAATTCCCCACGATTTGCCCCTTGGAGTGCTCAAGTACTAGGCCTGCTGCAGTAGGCCGATGAACCGCTCGGATTCAAACATGGAGGCAGGGACCCCATATGGAGATGGATCCCGCTCGAGACTTCGACGCGATTCACTCACAAACCAAGCTCCGGCTCGAGACTTCCTCCAGACTCAGCCTGAAGAGCCCAAACGTGATGACAACTACACGGTTGGATGACCCGCTCGGATTCGAGCATGGAGGTGGGACCCCAAAGGGCTCCTGCTCGAGCCTTCCTAGCGATTTACTCGCGAACGGAGATCCCGCTTGAGACTTCCTTCAGATTCAAGCCTGAGGAGCCCGAAAACGACGACGGTTACAAAATGTGGATGGCCCCGCTCGGATTCGAACATACATGCGGGGACCCCACGGGGAGAGGGTTCCCGCTCGAATTTCCTCTCGCTTCACACACGATGGACGCTCCCGCTCGAGACTTTCTCAGGGCTCATGACTGAGGAGCCCACAAGTGAGTACGGCTACAAGGTTTGGATGAAACCACTCGGATTCGACCCCATAGGCAGAAGGTTCCCGCTCGAGGCGTCCCCGCGATTCACTCGCGAACCAAACTCCCGCCCGAGACTTCATCCAGATTCAGTCTTGGGGAGCCGAACGCTGACGACAGTTGGGTTTGGATTGCCCCGCTCGGATTCGAACATGGAAGCGGCACCCCACAGGGAGAGGGCTCCCGCTCGAGACTTCCTCGCGGTTCGCTCACAAACGAAGCTCCCGCTCAAGATCTCATCCAGATTCAAGGCTGAGGAGCCTAAAAGTGACGACGCGACTATTACAAGACTTAGATGGCTCCGCTCGGATTCGATCACGGAGGTGGGGACACCATTTGGAGGGCTCCAGCTCGAGACTCACTCGCGATTCACTCACGAACGACGCTCCCGCTCGAGACTTGATCCAAATTCTGGCATCAATAACCCAGAAGTGACGACGGTTGTACGGTGGATGACCCCGTTCGGATTCGAACGTGGAAGCAAGTACCCCATACGGAGGGGCTCCCGCTCGAGACTTCTCGCGTCTCGCTCACGAACGAGGCTCCCGCTCGAGACTTCCTCCTGTTGGGGGTGCGAGTGTGCGTATGTGTGAGTGTGTGGGTGTGTGCGTATGTGCGTGGAGATGGGAATGTATGAAGGGGGTGTGCGAGTGCGTGCAATGAGGGAAGGAGAGAGGGGGATGATGTTGTTGTTGATGATGCTGATGATGCTGCTGCTGCTGCTGCTGATGATGATGATGATGATGATGATGAGCATGATGATGATGACGTGATCTGACTGTGGAAAGCTCTGTGGAGCACGATCCTTCGGATCGTCGGGCGCCGACTCATCTACAGGCGCTGGCCGAGACCTGACACCCGATGAGCGGTGCGGACCAACAAGGCGCGCCCTCGGTGAGGGGGCGCCAAGCCGTTGAGCCGGTCGGCGAGACCTCAACGGAAGCACTTCTTCTGCAGGACGGCGGTCCAGAAAGTGACAGCGCGCTGGACGAGTCAGGTACTGGACCCACAGCAGCTTGCAGGCTGAAGGCATCGCGCGTGATGGTGGACGCCAATAATTATGTAAAGCGGTGTGCGGTGAGGTAACACTGCCCGCATCGGCTGGCATGTGCCTCGACTGTTCCAATTCACTGAGTCGGTGTTGTGGCTGAATAGGTGGAATAAGGCAGAGATGCAGAGGAAGGCGTACAATATGACAAACGAGAGCACACGGGCTGGAATCGCATGCCAGCTGGCCCGGCCCGTATAAGGTCTCTCTGCGAGCTGCATCT